TAGTGACTCTCTCCAGAAGATCTATGATTGCATGTGCTATTCCCAAAGCTATGAAGAGAGCAATGCTTGTCAGTTCTGCTTGCATCACACGAAACACCACGGCCGAAGCCCCATACGCCAAAGTAACAAAAACATATGCATTACCAGGATGAATGACCCCTTTCAAACTCTGAGCACCGAGACGACAAACTACTTTTGGAATAGCGGTCATTAATGGACTTAATCCTGCAATGACGACTTTCACACCTTCTGTTTGCTTGATATACAATTCAAATAATCTATAAACAAATAAGTATGATATGATAACTCCTAGCAAAAACTGTGCTGAAATGATAAGAAAAAGTCTTATTGTATTTCTCCAGGATCTTGGATGAAAATGTCGAGCCAAMARRRAAYGRCTWAKGRCCRTCACKMMARYAMWMAYACCATTCRATGGAATAGACTTCCACGAGACATAGTAGGCACCAAACATTTGAAGGTTAAGTCGGTATATGACATCCATGAAAGCAGCTGTTAAGGTTATCATAAACAAGTTAAGTTTCCGTACCAACGATATTGGAAAGGCCATGCAGATACAAAAGAATACCCAGAATTGAATGAAAAACCCTTCTACAGACTGTGCAATAACTCGAAGGTGCTGCACACTCTTCGGCATTTTATACCAGTTTGTAGTTTCATCATAGCACCAAGTTACGGTACTAAAATCAAGAAAAACGATACCAACAGCTACCATACCAATGAGAGTTCCTGCAACCGCTTGGATCAGCAGCACATTTTTCAGACACTCCCAGAAAGACTTGCTGAATGGTGGCAAGCTTTGTTTCCATGCTTTAGGATCCCCTTCAAGATGCTGTGGTGGGTGGTGCTCTCGGAATATGGTATCTTCGGGATTAAATTCTGTGAAGTCTTCTAGAGAGCTTGGCAGTTCTCTAATCAGAGGCGATCCTTCCAAACACGTTGAATTAACTTCAATCGTTTCTGATAGAACAACGCCTGTACAGTTTTCAGTCAAATTAGCTATCAGCATCGCAATTTCGGATATCATGATTTTGATTAAAGCACAATCAATTTACTAGCACTAAGCAAGAAGCTTCGAAAATTTTATATGTGTTTTAATTGAAGTTCGTCACCTCTGACGATTTTCACAGACGTTTCGATCCTTGAACATATAACTTTTTCAGTTTGCTGTTTGTATTAGGGTACGCAAATTTAATCAAATAATGATAGCGCACACATGAGCTAGAGAGTCCCGTATGAGCGTATGGATTTACATATTTCTCGAAGCTCGATACAGTCGTTATTTGACTCGTGATCTTGATTTTGGTAACCATACTAGGGTGTGTATGTTTATATATATATGTGTGTGTAAACTCTGTATGATTGTGAAATGGATATCTACATAAATCGAACGAAGATGGATTTAATTCGTGCAATAATCATCTTAATAAAAAAAATTGAAAGCCATGTATTCACTCAACTAGTAGATTTTAGTTTCGAAACTTGAAGCAATCTAACGGATTGTTTACAATTGGCAACCGGAAAGAATATGCATTGGTATATTATGCTAACGTTCAAAAAATCATTGCTAACGAAAGTAGTTTTAGTTTCGAAACTTGAATTAATTAAAACGGGATCCGGTTACGATAAACAATCCTTCGTAAATCAGACAAAATAATAATAATAACGTGAAATATGTCAAAATGTCAAAGCGAACGAAAATGTCTTTAATTGCAATGACCAGTAGTTTAGTTTCGAAACTTGAATTAATTAAAACGGGATCCGGTTACGATAAACAATCCTTCGTAAATCAGACAAAATAATAATAATAACGTGAAATATGTCAAAATGTCAAAGCGAACGAAAATGTCTTTAATTGCAATGACCAGTAGTTTAGTTTCGAAACTTGAATTAATTAAAACAGACTGTTTAAAGTAAACAATCCTTCCTAAATCACCAAAAAAAACAATATTAACTGGAGAGAATGTGTATTGTGACTTATGGAACATGTCAAAATATCTTAATAAGAGGTCAGTTTTTGATAATCCTTTTCGACTACTGTACGTTTCTTATGCCACTAAGTTTTTTAAAGAAGGAAAAATACATGACATGCAAGTCTCGAAAGGCAGTGACGTTGCCATTCATGTAAGAGCGAAAACGTGCCTACTACTTTCATTTTCTTTTCTTTTTTTTTTTTTT